AGCGTATCTGTTCTGGCATTGGTGTCTGTGCAGTAACAGAACCCTTTTTGGGGTGGCAGAAAATAAAAGCTTTAGGTCGGGGATGGGGGAGCTTCGCTCTGCATTACTGCCGGAACGAACATGGCCTACATCAAGGGAACTTACCGGTGCCTGTGCCGATATCGAGGATGTTCTTTGGGTCTTCCGTAATAGGAGCCGAGTAAAGCTCGCCGTCCAAGAGAAGGGTGATCATGTGATGGCTGACGATGAAGCAGAAGCATGAGTACATCTATACAATGTGCGGTGTTTAATAATGGCGGGAATCATGGTGAACTCACAAGATATCCAATGTCTCATTTGCCTTCTCATCGTTGGGAGCCCTGCATGACAAGAGGCGCATTAACTCCATGAAATTTCAATGTGGCGGGAGCTTGGTTTTTATCAACATGTTCTCAGCAAGACTCACCAATACTCTCCGTCTGTCACACTGTCACTGTGATAGGTACGGCCATTAATCATCCGATACTTCAGGATGCTCGAACTGATCGATGCGGTAGAACTCTCGACATCGCTCCCCAGAGTTGAGTCCCAATCATTCTCTGGATTCTCCTCCGGAAGTCCCTGTAAGACGTAGGACAATTGCGTTAGGAAAACGTTGAAACAACTTGACTATCGACCCCTGGACCGGTCAAGATACGTACCACATCAGCCCAATGGGCTCCAGACAGAAGGCCAGGCACTGCAGTACCTGGAGACGCGGGACCAGGTGTAGGGGATTTTGCCGTGACCGGAGATGCAGGACCAGGCGTACATGACTGGGCCTTTTTCTTTAGCGAAACTGCCTCAGGTGCTGGCGACTGAGGCTTTTGCGGTGGGGAACTCATGGTCAAATTCGCGTGTCCTCAATCTGGAAGTTGAGAATGGGTCAGGAAGGTCGAACGGTTAACCTGCAATTCGGGTGCCAAAGCCGTCCGCTTTATGGAAAGCTACAACTGCCAGATCAGTCGGCTCGTGACGGACAGTTCAACCCTAGCTTGTCTGTTAGCGTGGCAGGATCCCGGAACTCTCACTGGGCCAAACTACCGGAAACCACCAGGGTGACGAACAATACCCGGCTCAGACCGTTGCTAGTGTTCCACAAAAAAAACTAGAACTTCTGAACGGAATGCTGCCGTGTCAATGTGACAGCGGGTGCATGCTACCCCTCATGGAGCGGTCAACCGCTTCAATAGTCTCTAGGGCGGACGTTACTGCCAATCCGTCCATATGAGACGATAGGAAGCAATGATGGGGAAAATGCATGATTGGTGGCTGGAAGAAAACAAAGGCACATGTTGCCAATCCAGGTCCACTAGACATGGAGATTCAAGTTGGACTCGGGGCGCTCTTTCCACGTCACAAGCTCCCAAAAACCACAGGAGCGATGATTGAGAAACGATTGATTGGCGACTTGGTTGACAAGGAGGAACGGCGGGCTAGACCAGGATCAAA